GGAGATTGTTGGATTTGGTGCTATCCAAAATCACCCACATAAGGAAATCTCATATTTAGTGGGATTGATCCATACGTTGTGGGATTGAGATATTCCCATATTTTGTGGGATTGATATATTCCCATATTGTGTGGGATTGAGATTTATATTGATAAGTTTCCTAAAAGAAACAGAAATCCAAAAAGATTATGACTCTTGGATCTATCTCGTGGTTTTGAGATATATGTAAGATCTATAGAAATTTCCCTATTTAATATGGAATCCTAATCTTATATATGGGATGATACTGCAGAGAATTTGTGTGCCCTATTTGGGTCGCTATATGGGAATGGTGGTTCCTCTGGAGAGAAAGGGAGCTAGAGCCTCTTATGCATAAGATGCAATTTCCTCTTAAAGAGAAGAAAGTTTCCTTTAGACAGAAACATTGTGATGGTGCCTCTTTTAGACTCCCGAATATTGAGAGGCTTATTTGTTTCTTATAGAGAAACAGTTCCCATTGAGATTTTGGGGGGTTTTCCTTTTAGTTAGAGAGAAAGTCAGTTTCTTGTATTCCATTGATCCAAAATTTCAACAATCGACAATGGGATGTGAATATGTTTGTAACTGCCTGATAGTCATAATGAGATGATCATTGCACCCTCGGCACTATTTGTGATGGGTACTGTTGAGCTCGATCTCTGATCGATATGTCTGAGGTGATTATACTTAACTGGAAACTCATCATGGCTTCTTCAATGAGCCTCACACTATGACATACATGCAAAACTAGAGTCCCCAATAGCCATTCAAAAATACATGAAGTTTGGAACTCATTCCAGATCAATATTGGTTTTTGAAATTGCAAAAACAACATTCACTGCACATTATTCTTGCCATTTATTTTTGGGTGGTTCACCATAGAATTCAAACTTGAAATTGTGTATGATATAGTTCCACATCTAGGAATGTCATGATGATAAACTGCAATCCTTTGGGTTCTCTTTTTAATAGTGAACAAGAGGAGTGAGAAATATAGTCTGTGATGCTTGGGAAATTTTTGAAAATAATCATTTCTCATGTACCCCAAAAAATGTGCATATAGTAAGTTTTTCTTCAATTGCATGTTTTTGCATGTATGATCACCACCCTTACTTTACTTGTGCGATTTGGATCATTTAAGGCTTTAGCGAGATAATCATGTTATGAAAACTGTACCGTTAAAAGGGCAACACTGTACAAGCAAAGATACAGCAAAACTCATAAGATACAGATATTATCGGTTTCAAGTTCGTTTGTGATAAGTAAAGTATTCTTCTTAAAGGTTTCATTGAGCAAAGCAGGCCGGCAAATTGTTCTTAAAACTCGAAGAAATATAGATTTAGTGACCAGGAATCAAAAACTCAGTTTGCCTTGAAAAAAGAAACTCTTATCAAAAGTTTCTGTGCTGCGTCATGGGTGAAACTGATTTATTTACTCTGAAATAAGTACAAAATATAAGCAATATATTTTGAACACTTGAAGGATCATGAATCAAGCCTGTTTCTGTACTTTTTCCTTTTTCGATCCATCAAAAGTTCAAATCCCCCCAAAAAGAAAATCATTAAAAAGCACCAGATTCCAGTCTATCTCACTGGAATCACACACTGCCTAAACTAGAAATGAAAGCAGTCCTCTTAGATGTCCTGTGTAGACAAATCATATGGGAGATGCTTGATTATTATGATTTGGAAATTTGTTATATTTGTTAAGAGATTACTAACGCTTCTCCTGCTTCTTCTACTGCTCTTTTGCTGTTTATTCAAGTAAGGATAAAAAGTTAAAAGCCAGTGAGGCATAAGAACTAATGCATCTGTTGAAGGTACCTACGAATTGACAACTTAAAAAGAAAGAGGTGCTACTAGAAGGTGCATGTGTATCTACCCTGATATGGAATAATGCAAAGTTTACTTTTTAAAATCTAATCAAATGAGTATATGGTTAATGATATAGCCTTCTTTATGAATAACCTAGTAAACAGAAAAGTAGATTTCATATGATGATAAGAAGCATTGATGTAAACAGAATTCATAGTATCTCAGTTTTGTTCAAAGGAAAGACATAAATAAGGGGTTCAATTGCAGTAATTGGTACTGGAAAGGAAAGTTTCTCCTCATTCTACCTATGTTAAAG